CAAATACAACATTTTAGGACAAAATACATAAAAAGAGCTTGTAGGGTGATATGCTCAGGATCTTAACTCTCTTTTAGAATAGCTTTAGACTTTAATTATACTGGGTCTGGCCAAAAAATCAGAAATACAAAGCTGAAAAAGATGAAAGAGTAGTGGCACAAAAACCTAACACTTCAAAGCATGTAAGGAGGAAAACATTTTTTAATGGCTGTCTCCGGAGTTTCAAGATAATCACTGAGAAACAGCATTTGAGATGTCCGACTAGATAATAAAAATAACTTTATAAACGGTTGAAATTTAGGTTTCAATAAAACTTTGACTCAACATTAAAAATACTAAATTTGGCAAGAGAAGGCTATAGTTACTACCGTCAGATGCTGGGGCCCGCAAACCACCATCACGTTAAATGAAACCTTGTGAATTCTTTGTTCATATTTGTGCTTATTTATGTGGTGGAGGAAAGGGATGTCAGAGTTAGTTTTGGTAAAGCCTAAGTACTTCCTTTCATTGTATACATTTTTATTTCATTGCACACATTCAATATAAATATTTAAAACTTAAAATCTCCTACAGAGAATAAAATTCTCATGTGAACAATTATTTACGGGGAATTTTTTTTAAGTAAGAACCCAGACTATATAGGAGACAGTGGTGTCAAATTAGACAAAGAAAATTACCCAGGAAATGACAGTGCAAATATGTAGATGTAAAGACTGGATGATGTGGCTGACTTAGAAAAAGCTGAAGTTTTAAAAATATCTTATTTGATGTGTTACCCATATGACCTTTATTAAAAAACAAGATGATAACATACACAGAACACATCATATGGTATGATAGTTAGTCATATGGTATGAAGTTGGTCTACCCCCCAGTGATGTCATTGTTAGTTTTCAGACCATTCTAGGAAAAGATTGTGGATTGATAAATGTACACTGTGCCTTCTGGTTTTATGGTAGTGAAATTCAGACTACATAAATTATAATTTGTTTGTGTCTGCTGTTTTGGTTAAATTAAAAGAAGCTGGATTGCCTAGACAATGAGTGTTTTGCTTGAATGAAATTTTTAAAAAGAAGCTAGTATTTATAATGTAATGAATCACACACACACACAAATTTTTCTTTGTAAAAGAAAATTACAAAACAACAGTAGATTACAGACTGAGCAAAAACAGACTGAGTGGTAAAGAGGTCAGACTCCAGAGTCAGACAGATGTGTACTTGAATCGTGGCTGTCCTACTTATAGCAGTACAATTTGGAGCAAATCACTTAACCTCAACCCCCTGGTTTCCTCATTTGAGTAATAATAATAACAGCAACAGTAGTAACAGTGCCAACGTAACAGGTGATTTGTGAGAAGTCAATGTGTTGAAACACATGAACTGCATTGCCCAGTGTCTAGCACATTGCTCAAGGAATGATTACTGTTACTGGATCAATTTCATGGTCCGGGGCTCACTACTCCAGGGCTCACTACTCCAGTGCTCTGTTTCCAGCAGAGGAGGAGAGGAACATATTGTGGGATATGATGTTTTGTCCTGCCATCAGCCTTAAAAGCTAAGATCTCTTGATCTACAAGGCCACCATTCATAACTTTGTCTAAACAATTATTAATCCATTCACATTTTCTGTCTATATCAGATATGCTGAGAAATGTTTTATTAATTTATTAAATTTATGTGTCAACGTAAAACAACACTTCCTTTTTTCTGGCACTCAGGCCACTATGCATTTAAAGCATATCTCCTTGCCAGGGGATTTTGTGATTTAGGAAATAAGTCTGGGTATAATTTCTATACTATTCAGGAAATAAGTCTGGGTATAATTTCTATACTATTCACAACTGAAAAAATAATTTCAACATGTTACTTTTAATGGAAAAAACTGCAATTACTTTTGCTCCAACATAATATTTCAGCGCTTACTGTGTTCCAGGTACTGCACTATCTATTTTACATACTGCATTTCACTTATTCTCCAAAATAGTCTTATGAGGTAGGAAATAGTATTCTTTAAACAGAGAGTCTAAATTTATGAATTCTAGCCATAATACCTTTTAGGCACCAGTGCTCTAGAGTAAAGCTTCTCTGTATTTTTAGTGCACGTTCGTATCATAGTCTTTTAATCCACTATAGTTTTTTTTTATTTGACTACCAAGAGATACACGTTAAAGGCTATCTAATGAATTGGTTCAGGGCAGAAGGTATGCATTATTGAAGACCTTGATTCCTGTGCTGACAGCAGACTAGTGTTGGCCTTGGGTAGGTTGCTTAACTTCATAAGGCATTTGCTACTTTACTTATAAAATTTAGCTACTTTATAGATTTATTTTGGGGACTTAATGACTCAATGTAGTGTAAAAGGATGGAGATAGAATCTGATATTTAATAAGCACTCATTTAAGGTTAGTCATTATTTTTAGTGAACATGCAGTCAGTACTGATGGAACACACACACACACACACACACACACACACACACTAAAGATCCTAGGGGATACCAAGCTAAAAATGACATCCTTACAGTGTTAGAACTTACAATTTAGAAAGAAAACAATATGCATGTGTGAAAAGAGTCCTCTTTTAGGGATGTAAATAGGGCTTTGTAAGGGTAGAGGAAGCAGTGATAAATTCGTAGTTTGGGGTGTAGCTTGAATGAAGGGAGGTGGAGAAAACAGTACCTTAACTGGATTTTGAAAAATAAATGCATCCTAGTATTTAGAGAAGAGAGTGAGGATTTTCTCGATGCAGGGAGTGATATAACTAAAAGCCCAGAACTATGGAGTATAGTATTCAGGGAAGGTGACTATTATGGTATGTGGTGGAACTGAGGAATCGAATTTGTGGAGACATCAATTTAGAAATAAGACTGAAAGGTATATCCTAGTTTTTTTTATTTTTTATTTTTATTTTTATTTTAGACGGAGTTTCGCTCTTGTTACCCAGGCTGGAGTGCAATGGTGCGATATTGACTCACCGCAACCTCCGCCTCCTGGGTTCAGGCAATTCTCCTGCCTCAGGCTCTTGAGTAGTTGGGATTACAGGCATGCGCCATCATGCCCAGCTAAGTTTTTGTATTTTTAGTAGAGACGGGGTTTCACCATGTTGACCAGGATGGTCTCGATCTGTTGACCTCGTGATCCACCCGCCTTGGCCTCCCAAAGTGCTGGGATTACAGGCTTGAGCCACCGCGCCAGGCCGGTATATACCAGTTTGTTAACTACCTTGCTAAAGAGTTTTAATCTTACTGCCTTATTATTTAGAAGACTGATCTATCAGGAATGTGGAAGGTACGTTTGGAAAGGTGAAAGAGTCAGTGAGAACAATTAAGACATTGTAAAGATAGTTTAGTTGAAATATGATGAATCCCTAGACAAGGGTAGTGGGAAAAGCAATGGAACAGGGGGAATGAATGAATGAATCAATACAAAAGACATTTCAGAGATAGAAGCCAAAGGGATTAATTAATGACTGTGGTGGGAGGGGGGATGAGGAAGAAGTCAAAGATGAAGATATTATTGCCGCAGTATCACTGAGTGATTCTGTTCACTGAGATCAAACCCTCAAAATGGAGGTTTGGGAACGATGATGATTTTGAACATAATGAGTATGAAGTACATTTGGGAAGCCCAGTGAGAGATGCCCTAAATACAAATGGAAATTTGGGCCTGAAGCATGAATGAAGAATCTAATATTGTATATAAAAATATTACTATAATTGACAAATATAATTTACATTGAGATGCCCTTGAAAACCTCAGGTGGTCTTTTGAATTCTTAGCATTAATACAATTTTCAAAATCTAAGTATATAAAACACATATATTCTCTGTATAACCTACAAAGTATTTTAGGTGGAATCGGTCTTTTAATACCAGGCTCTTATTTTTGTTCTAACCTAAATCCATCTATTTAATACCAGCTCTTATTTTTTGTGTTTTTTTTTTTTTTTAAATAAAGAGTAGGGTATGGGAGGGTCAGTGATTCTGGAATTCACTTTTGCAAGTGCTTTTCCAGAGCCTGTTTTATCAGCTCACTTAAACCCCACCTGCTGGGGCTTTTTCTTGATTGGCAGTCTTGCAATCCTCTTGTGAGAATCAACTGGGCAGCTTTATCTATAAATAACATTCATTGTCAAGTGTGAGGTGCAAAGCTGCAGTCATGGTGATGAGAGATTGTTGAGCCTACCCGCCTTTTTAATCCAGCGTTAGTCCCTAAACCATTTGTCAAGCTTTCACATTCTTATCACACATCTAGTATCTTAAGGAATAGGTCATGAAGAAAACTTTTCTTAGAGGGAATATGAAACTGCCTTAGGATTTAGCTTAATACTGTTATTGTTATTTTAATGTTTAATCAGGTAATATTTGGATTGCTTTTAGTAATTTATGAAATATTTTCACTGACATGATTTCATTATGATTGCCACAATAAACTGATTGAGGGCATATTATCATTTAATTGATGAAGAAACCGGGGTTGAATAACTTGCTCAAGATCCCAGAGCCAATAAAAATTGGGGCCAAGATGTGGCTATTAATTTGATTCCAGATGGCTTTTTATTTCTATTACTTATATATAGCTATTTTTCTAGTGATATTGCTACATCTGAGCTATAGTATTCCTCCTTACATAGCATCAAAAATATGGACTATATATTTTCTTGTTTTCCACCTTAAAAATTCTTAACATCTTTCAGTATGGCAAATGTGCTATTCAAATGTGATTGGCACCTCAGGAAGACATTTGTATGTTAACTCACCATGTTGATGGCGTCAAGCTTTCTTCATGTAGCTACATGACTATGTGAAGCTTAAACTAAGTTATATTCTTTGCTGTAATTATAAACAACCCATATTTTGGCTTTATTTTAAAAACACTGGCATTATTTTAAGTTATGGTATTTAAATTTTACTAAAACAGAAAACTAAGAAGAATGAACGACACTGAAATGGAGCAAGAGGTGGAGGAAACAAAATGGTGAGTAAATACTGTTTACATCCTGAGTCCGTTCTGGTCAGCCAGAACACAACCTTACCTTTTTTTTTTTTTAAGAAAATACTTTGAATATCATCCTTAGGGATTAGAAACTAAAAATTGATCATTCCCCTAAAGCATATTGTTTTCGGAGTGGAAAACTGTCAAAGACCGAAAGAAAACCCTGTTTAGGGCTCTGCGCTGGCCCTTTACTGGAAGGAGCAGCTCCACCAGCTGTGGCGGCTTTCTCTACCCGGGGTAGTTGCTACAGCCATTCAAGGAATCGAATACTATTTCCCTCCATGAATAAGTTCGGGTCTGTCCTGGTCACTAAAAGAGGAAAATTTGAGTAGGAGGTATCCAAAGGGATCTCAGAATGTTGGCTTTGTGTGTTCATAATCACAAGAGGAACAAGTGGTTCCACAGGAGATGAGGGTAGATACTGTGTCTCCATCTCCTGTGGAAGGAAGAGCTATTACTCTGTGAAAAAGCATGGACCTGAAAAAGAGCTCACCAGAAAAGAACCAACTAACAGTTGCTTTCTCAGACGTAAGAAAAAACAGTTTATAGATCACTTGCTTGGCTAACTTTCTAATGTTTGTTTTTATAGTTTGGGAAGGTTGGATTTTTGACTAAGTTTTTTGAGAGTTGTAAGAAATCTCTTCCTTATTTGGGAACACATTATTTTAGCTATGTTTCTTGTTCTCACATTTACATAGTATATTCTAAACATTTCAAGATATACAGTGAGTAAGATCATTAGAAACAGAATACGGCCCTTTCCTCATCCTGGCCACAAAGAGATGGAGCACTCTATTTAATATTTAAAAGATGTATTAATATTTTTATACTATTTGATATTTCTAGGTACAGAATTTTTATTTAAAAAGTGAAGTCGGCCAGGCGTGGTGGCTCAAGCCTGTAATCCCAGCACTTTGGGAGGCCGAGGGGGGTGGATCACGAGGTCGAGAGATCGAGACCATCCTGGTCAACATGGTGAAACACCGTCTCTACTAAAAATACAAAAAATTAGCTGGGCATGGTGGCGCATGCCTGTAATCCCAGCTACTCAGGAGGCTGAGGCAGGAGAATTGCCTGAACCCAGGAGGCGGAGGTTGTGGTGAGCTGAGATCACGCCATTGCACTCCAGCCTGGGTAACAAGAGCGAAACTCCATCTCAATGAAAAAAAAAAAGTTAAGTCATAAGTTTTAAAGTCCTTTGAAAACAAACTTGGTCATTCTGATATTTGCTTTATTTAACCTATAAAGTCTGATAAAATTTTTCCTCTTTACTAGATAATTTTATATTTTAGTTTCAAAGAGCCAGTCTTACATGCAGTTCTCCAGCAGTCCAAGTTTATCTTCAGTTGCTTTCCGCTATCCCTGCCCATGTTTGGCTTCTCTTGGTAAATGATCCTCTCTTGCCCAGGCTGGGCGCTCTTCTCAGCAGTACTATATCCTTTGGACCACACCTGTATCCTCCTGTCCATAAATTATTACCTGTAGTTTGACCTCAAGGTCTTATTCATTGCTCTCCTTTTGACAGTAAGCTTTCTGAGTAATTAATCTGTGCTAAGGAATTTGTGGTTTATAGTATCCTGTCTCTCCAGATAATACTGTATTTTGATATTTCAAAATCAAAATACCAGAGACATCACATGGTAAGTAGAAAAAAATGTATTAATGGCAGGAATCCTAGGCTCTAGGGCAAGCCAGTTTGAGAAATAATTTGGAGCCATTGAAAGGTCTTTTTGTGGCTTCATATCCCATATTCTAGGCGACTGCTTACATATCTAGGGTGGAATTTTGATACTCTGTTTTTAGTTTTTAATTCTGTAGTCAATGAAACTATCATAAAAATTTATGGTCAAGGGAGAATTTTAGCCATTCCCATTTCCTTTGCAAGCCAGTGAACTGTATCAAGGAGAGAAGGAGGACCATACTAGAGATTTGCCTTGATTTTTGTTGTATGGTACATTTATCTCATCAAAACAGGCTGTATTCACATTCACAGGTATTCATAGAGGACTTTAAATTTCCAATCTTAAATGCCATGTTTCTAAAAGGATTTTAAAATGGTAGCACTTGTCAGATTATATGAACAAATAGGTAAATTATGTATGCCCCACGAGAAATTTCAAGACTTTTTGGGTTATTTCTTAATATTATTATGTGCCACCTTTCTCTATTAGCATCTCATGTCAGAGGAAATAAGCATTTCTGATATTGCCTACTACTAAATTGTAAATGCATGTAAGACCTGTAAATACACAGTATTGTAAATACGTGTAGTCAGTGAATAGAAGTAAGCTAAGGACATATGAAAATTGCATTGTTGTTTTGAGGTCACAGGTAAAAGTGGTTTTGAAAATGATCAGTGAACAGTTAGGGGAATAGCTACTCTCAGCTCCTTTGGGTTTTCGGGCTTGGTGGTCTTTGCTAGGATCTCACTCTACTTGCAGTTCACAATGTCTGTCACGTGAGGGCAGCATAATCACAGGCAAGCCTGCCGTCTAGTTTGACCTTAAAGAACTGATTCCAAAGGAAACCACATAATAATGTAATGTGACCACATGTAAATGCAGTCAGTTTTTTCTTTTATACACATTGCTCAACTGATTAAAATACAATATGAAATATTAGAGAAAAAACTACTTATGTTTTCTATGATTGAATATCCTTATCAAAAGGATATGTGATTTGCATTAAAAATAATTTGGATTATGAATTTAAAAAATTGTGTTTTAAAAGGAACACACACACAAACGTACCCAGAAAGTGAGAGAATCTCTTTCCTGATTTTTGGGATGGAACAATACATAGTATTTGAACACCATTGTTAGACTACTTATACCTCACTCACCGTGGTATTGTGGGCAAGTTAACATTTCTCTGCCTTAGTTTCCTCAACTACGTGGGAGTAATCATAGTATGCATTCACAGGACTGTGAAGGATTAACTGAGATAATGCCGGTAGACCAATTTAAATATACTCTACACATAAGTGCACTATAAATATTGTTTGTATTATATTGTCATGCACTGCATAATGATGGTTCAGCTAACAACGGACTGCAAATAACGATAGTCCCCTAAGATTATAATGGAGGTTAAAAACGCCTATTATAGCCACCATAACACCTAGTGTACCACGTTACCTTTTCTGTATTTAGATATACATGTACTTTCCATTGTGTTCCAGTTGCCTACAGTATGCAGAAGGGTAGTGCGCTGTATAGGTTTGTTGCCTAGAGGCAGTAGGCTATACCATATAGCTTAGGAGTGTAGTAGGCAGTACCTGCACAGTATGTACCATCTAGCTTTGTGGTAAATACACCTTTTGATGTTACAGTGACAAAATTGCCTAATGACACATTTCTCAGGACACATCATCATTGTTAAAGGACACATGAATATTCAGATGCTGAATTTTTCAAGTATAGAGTTTGAAAAACACCTTCTTCCATTTGGAACTAGAAAACTATCAGAGACCAATGCACAAGAAAGAATTGAGTAAGATTCTTAGACTATATTTTCCGGTATTTTGTCACAAATATTCTGGAAAAAATATGTTTGAAGGAGCTACTTAGGTGATGAGGAGGGGAAAGCAAAGATAGAAAGCTTAAGATTTAGTGCAAATTAGAGTAGAAATTTCACTTATGCGTTTATAAAGGAACATTTTTTCTTCTTAAAGACTTGAACCTTTACTTTTTAGTTGGTAATGGGTAATGATTCTTTCCTACTTAGGAATTTAATTATTACTCAGGAAAGCAATATCATGGTAAATAAGACCCTGAGAAGATGTCTTTAAAAGGAGAAACTTCAGGTTAAGAAAAATCCATCTGTTTTCAGTTTGTTCAGCTTTTTACTTGTTAGGACAGAGTGGTGACTTCAAGCTTTTCACATGCCGGACTTCAAACTGGAAGTTGGACTCAATCTTGTAGAGCTTTTAATTCATATGCAGTAAGCAATTAGCAAGAACCTATGGTGCTCAAAAGAGCTTAAACTTTCTGAAGATAGAAGACCTGCACCCAGGAAGTTAAAACTATTACAAGTGCCAAAGTGAATGGGATATAGTTTAGAGGAGGAAGAAGGAAAGACAAGGTAGAATGACTGGGAGGTAGAATTCAAAGGAGGATTTCAATGTGCCCTTCAATACTGACTGGAATTTGGAGAGAAGTAGGAGGAAGGATACTTAGGTGGATGTCATGGGCTGAGTTGTATCCCCCCAAATTTATATGTTATAGTTCTAACCCCTGGTACCTCAGAGTGTGACTGTATTCAGAGAGAGGGCTTTAAAAGAGTTAATTAAGGTTAAATGAGGTCATTAGCGTGGGCCTTTGATATGGTTTGTCTGTGTCCCCACCCAAATCTCATCTTGAATTGTAATCCCCACAATCCCCACATGTCGAGGGAGGGACCCAATGGGAGGAGTTTGGACCATGGGGGTGGTTTCCCCCATGCTGGTCTCATGATAGTGAGTGAGTTCTCATGAGATGTGATGGTTGGTTTTATAAGGCAGTTTTCCCTGCTCTCTGATGCTCTCTCTCACCTGCTGCCATGTAAAATGTGCATGCTTCCCCTTCTACCATGATTGTAAGTTTCCTGAGGCCTCCACGGTGATGTGCAAATGTGAGCCAATTAAACCCCTTTTCTTTATAAATTACTCAGTCTCGGGCAATTTTTTATAGCACTGTAAGAACAGACTAATATAGCCTTAGTCCAATATGACTGCTGTCCTTATATTAATAATAAGAGGAGATAGGTCACAGACATGCACCAAGGGAAGATCATGTGAAGACACAGGTTGATGACAGATTTCCATAAGCCAAGGAGTGAGACCTTAGAAGAAATTCATGCCACCAACACCCTGATATCAGAATTCTAGCCTCCAGAATTGTGAGAAAATAAATTTCTGTTGTTTAAGCCATCCAGGGTATGGTACTTCATGTGGCAGCCTGGCAAGCTAATATGATGGGGATATTTTGAACAAAGGTGTAGCAGTACCAGCATTTCCCTGGCAGAGGACTAGTAAGAATGTTACGGTTTAGTATTAAGGAATGTTTGAATGGCCTCTTACAGAAACAAACTGATGTGGCACTGTACTGAATAAGGTGAGACTTAACCCAGCAGGGCTGGGGCAGAGGTTTGGAGCAGAGGTGGATTTAGTAGAACCTTGTGTTTAGAAGCTGAGTCTGGCAGTGGTGTGGGAGATTCCATCAGACAGAGACTGAAAGCAGAAGCCACATACATGGTGAAAGAGATCTGGCCTGTGGAAATGAGGGAAGTGGGACAAACACATATAAGTTATTTAAAGTAAGAGTAGACAGTACCTGATGGCAAAGAAATGGACACTGGAATGCTCTAAAGTGGTTTTGAGCAAGGTGGCCCAGTGTAATAGTGGTGCCATTGGTAATACTCGTGTCTGATAACGAACTCTACCAAAGGTGGTAATGAGACAGGCTGGAGTTCATGGCTAAGGATTCCATGTTGATGCTGGAGCTAAGAGAATGAGTGGAATCTGTGGGAGAATTTTTGAGCGTGCATAA